ACAAGCCGCCAGTCAATCTGATGCCCACTCTTAAATGCCTTTCTCTATTTGTTCGACATATTGTGGAGCGTGCTGTGCGAAACCAAACTGTCTAAGCACGCGATCCAACACGTGCATCTTCACAATTTCGAAACAAATGAGAGGAACTCTGGCTCTCCATATACTATGTCCCTCCATACAAATCAGTGGTAGACAAAGTAGGTAAGGTGTGTATGGCTGCCACTCAAACTACAAAATATTTCATATATTAATAACTCTTTGAAATATATCGGTAGCTTTAAATTACTTAAATTCAAATTCGATACCTGATAAATTTTCATCCGGTCGAGCTCTCCTCTGTAAAAATCTAATTGTCTTGCCGGGGCTTCATCGTAGCATTTTTGGACATTCCATCTGCATGTATGATATAAGGTAGGTTCTAGTGAAGTCCTCGGTTCTAGTGAAGTCCTCGGGTCGATCAAAATTAGAACCAAGCTCAACGAACTCAGCTTGTGAGGCATTTATCCATTCATTTTGAAACTCTTCTGACAACGGTTCTTCAGAGTCTACATAATCGTTGTTTACACAATATTCATCCATCCAACTGGCCTCATCATCGGTTTCTCCAATTGCACACTGCATACTATCAAGACGTTCCTCATCAACATCTTCATAATCATCATTTGCACTGTTTTAAAAAACCTTCGCCTAGTCCGCTTAGGCGTATGCCTAGGTCTAGGCGGTACCTAAGCCGCCTAACTAGCGTCTAGCGTCTAGGCGGTGTTTAGGCTGCCCACCTAGATTTTATGAGCGTTTAGAGGAGCATTGTCTGTTTACGTGGATTGCACCCTGTAGGTCTTGATTGTGATTTTATGTGTTGTAGCCTACACGTCCTCCAAACTCCATTAACCTCCAAATATGAACACCACTACCTCCTCCGACCTTCAGCAAAATCTCATCGACCACCACTTAAATGAAGAAAGAAATCCGCCTAGACACCAGTCCGGTATCTAAGCTTTCTATAACATTGACATTCACTATCAATTATTGTAATTAAAAAAAAACATCTTAGGCTCTAGCCTTGTTAATTATTATTTTTGCTATTTAGTATCTAAGTATGCATGATTTATTGTGGAACTAAGATTGCTATTTTTTTTGAAAATTTATATGAATTTAATACATATTTTTATCAATTATTATAATTAAATAATTTAAAAATAGTCAAACACCTAGGCATACGCCCAGGGGTCTAGGTACTAGGTGCTCGCTCAAACGCCTATTCTGTCTAGCGCCTTTTGTAACATTGCCGAGCTCCCCCGATTTCTGTAACTACTAACAAGGTAAATAGTACATCTTAAATATCTATTTAAGTTAGTTAAGAATAGTAACTTAAACTTAAGAAGTGTAAGTTATCAGTAAACTTAAGTTTAAGTTTAAGTTTAAGTTAATATTAAGTTTTTTGTTGATAGTAAACTTAAGTTTAAGTAAACAGTGAACTTAAGTTAACAATATTTTAGTTAACAGTAAACTTAAGTTTAAGTTTATTGTTAACTTAAACTTAACAGTAACTTATAAGTTAACAGTAATTTGAGTTGAGAATGAGTTTTTCACTGTTGAGATGAACTTATAATTTGAGTTGAGAAGTATAAACATACAAAGAGCTATTGTAATTGGTAAACCAAGCAATTTAGTTAGCAGTGTTGGTATTTTAGTATTTATGCATCTTTGATTGAGTATATAGATATTTATCTTTAAGTATCACAATTAAAAAAAAACGCCCAGAAACCGCTTAGGCGCCCGCCTAGGTGACTAAGCGCTGGGCGTCAAGTCTGACGCCTAGAAGCGACCGGCATTTAATGTAACATTGGTTATTTGCATATGCATCCTCATCCTCTTCTATAATAGAACCTAACCGGTAAATTAACTGAAAAATGGCCTGACGCGTTGTGGAACACGTCACTTGACATTGCACCCGACTCATTTTCTAAGTGCAAGGCACTTTGAGAGAATGAGATTTTATTTTCAAGCATGCGGGAGAACTCTCCGTGACAATATGAAGCTTCGGCAACCCCAGATAATGGAATATTTTTAATGAATTATTCGATTGGGATTTGCTTTTTCACAAGTTGTATCATATCACTCAATTCTTGATCATTGATTCATTGGTGATCTTTACAACAATTGTTCTGTTTTCATTTATCGGACAATTACAAAAGATCTTAATGGCATTTTCTGCATAATTAATTCTAACAACCCTATATATTTGCTCCATCATTCTATCGAAATTATAATTTCTAGATAACATGAATATTTTTCTAGATCCTCTTTTGTATATAGACATATTATTCATTCCAACACTTAGTTTTTCATTGAATAAGCAAATAATCGGTATTCCATTCGTCATTTTAACTGAAGAATTAAAATTCATCTGCAAATTAGATTTTTTTCATATTGATTATCATAATTAAAATATTTATTTTAAATATACAATTACTTCCATTAGATTTTTTTCATATTGATTATCATAATTAAAATATTTATTTTAAATATACAATTACTTCCAAACTACAATATTAACTAAATAATAGAGAATCATAATTAAAATATTTATTTTAAATATACAATTACTTCCAAACTACAATATTAACTAAATAATAGAGAGAAAATTATGAAAAATTAAGAAATTTATACGTTAATGAAGTTTTGAATTTCATCAATGTCGGCGAAACTAAACAGCGTCGGATTTTAACATCGCCGGAGTGATCTTTGGGGAAGATCTAAATTAGGGTTTGGCAAGAATGGGTTTGAAGAGGGTAAGAGAGAAATTTGAGGGAGGAAGAGGTGAGTTGGGAGAGAATCAGTAGAATGAGAGAGAGAGATTGAGGGAGAGAGATTAGGAGAGAGAGAGAGATTGGGGTTGGGAGAGATAGATCAGGGTTTCGGCTGTGAGAGAAAGAGAGAACGATAGAAAATTGGCTGCTTTGCCCTAATTTGGGGCACAGCTGGGCTTATATAGCCCGACTGAATCCACGGGACTACTAGTCTCGTGGATTTGTTGGGCACACCCAAAACAAAGCCCAGCAAATCTACGGGACTACTAGTCCTGAATATTTGCTGGGTGTGATGTAGCCCACACCCAAAACCTACGGGACTAGTAGTCCCGTATGTTTTCTTTGTGGTATATATTAGCTGTCAATTAATGGCGCGACTAAACATACGGGACTAGCAGCCCCGTATGTTTTGAATAGGCAATTTTTTAAAAAACGACCTCTTTTTGGCCTGTTGGCCAAAAAGAGGTCGTTTTTGCTAAATAATTAGCAAAACGGTCGGTTTTGCTAATTATTTAGCAAAAAAGATCTTTTAAAAAAACTCATTTGAGAAAATAACAGATACTAATAACTTAAAATTGTAAAAATTATTTGAAAACTGACATATATTTATCAAATGATATATTCTTCTTTAGTCCAAAGCAGTGTCTGTCCTTTCCCTATTATTTTATTGTAATTATTTTAGCAAATAAGAAACAAAATTGC